GCTAAGCCTGAAGGGATATGAACACGTGTGATGACATTTCCTTGCTGTCCACCTGCTTCCGCAGCACCAGCTCCTGTCCCAGGTGGTTTCCAGAGTCTGCATCCTGTCTTCTTGCATTTTCAGTACATGTTAGGGGATTCTGGTAGACACACCTGAAACCTGAACAGCTTCTTCAACAAAGAACTTTCCTGAAGATTTTGGCTTTTTTAGATGCATGATAACCACAAACACAAAGGTTTTCCAGGTGCTCCAGGGTACCATGGAGTTTTGGTTGAGGTACCAAACATCCATAAGAACACATCAAGACCTCTGTGGACAGTGGATTTTAGTGGGAAAATGCCTGGTCACTTGAGGAAAATAGTGGCTGGTACAGAAATACTGTGCACAGAGGTGGCAGGGTCTCTGCTCCTGCCTGAAGTGTATGTGTCTTCCCAGCACCAGAGTGGGGCCCAGTGCAATAGAGTACCTTACAAACTGAAAGGTGGACAAGGAGTGGAAGCCACCAGCTAGAATGATCACTAGCACAGACTCTGCTCCTCAGGGTTAGGCGAGAGTATGGATGCAAGTCAAACAACCAGATAAATATATCTGTAGAGCCATATGCAAGTACAAAGTGGCTGTCTTGTGGCAGCTAAAATTATGGTGTCGTTTCATGATCTTGAAGTGCTTATCCTTGCAAACACTGTGTTTTACTTAACAGAAGTGCATACATATGCACTTGTACAGAGAGACAGTTTGCAAGCAGAGATGAATATTTGCAAAAGATGTTTACCCTACATTTCCTCATATAAAACCTTGTTTTCAATGATCTCAAACCCACCAATCTACAGGTTTTAAATCTGACTCACTGGTCCTCTCTGGGTATTTGTGTTACAGAATCATAGAATGGTTTGGGTTGGAAGGGACCTTTAGGATATTCTAGTTCCAACACCCTTGATGAATGTGGCTAAAGAAAACATTCTATGTTTCTATGTTTCTTCAGATAACTACTGAGAGGAAGTCCCAAACCTCATGGCTTGTTCCAAGGAGATGCTCCAACCCTTTGTGACATGAGGATATGAGAGATGTAGACACCTGCAACTAAAGACATGTAAGCATATTCTGTTTTCTGAATAGAGAAATGTGGAAAAGAGAGGGGAAAAAAGCACACATAGGTCTCACCAGCATCACCGGCATGTTTGGTGGTGTGACCTGTTGTACTATTGAGTTGTCTTATGTTTTTTCAAGATGAGATGGAGTCTATGAGCAGGATTTCTAATGAATAATCAGCATATAATGTCTGGGTGTTATTTCCCAGTCCTTTTAGTAGTGGCTGGATATTAATATTTCATGCAGAGAAGCAAAGTGAAATACATTCATACATGTTGAACATCTGATCTCTGGTCTCTGATAAAGTTTAAGTTCATATTGTCCTCTTCCTCCCTCTGGGGACATGGGCATTATTGCTCTTTTCTAACTGGTGACCACTGTATTGTAAAAATACATTTTTTCAAAGCCTCTATCTCTGAAAATTGGACAGAAAGTAACCAAAAGCTTCAGAACTTATCTTGAAGAGAGATAAACTGCTCTTTTGCCTTACCCCATTTGCCTCATGTCCAGACAAATACAAGAGAAAATCCTTTTACCCAGTGCACAGTACTTTTCTTTGAATGTATCCCAAGTGATAATGTTTGGGGTTGTATCACTCAAGCAATCCACAAGTTGGGGAATAATTACTGTGCCATGCATTCCTCAATCCCTGTGTGAGAGAATTAATTGGTACACGGGTTAACCACAGCAGACGGGAAGTGACTGCTCTCATGTGCTTGGATCGCAGGCTGCTGCCTGGCAGATTACACGTGCTGCCAAGGAGAAGAGCAGGGATGGGATTTGAAGGCTCTTTAAGCACCTAAGCATGCAGAAAAGTGTCTGGTGGGATTTTTCAGATGTGTGTCTATGTCTTCTGAAAATCCCTGTAAACCTGTCTTGGCATTTCTCAGTCTGAGAAGGCCAGTAGATATCTGGTTTCTGCTGCTGGCAGCAGAAGCAGGGAATGAGCAACCCATGAAGGTTTACGCTGGCAGACACTGTGAGGCTAAATGGGAAGGATTAGAGCTGACAAAGGCATTATGCAGTCCACAGGTTAGGAAAATCTGCCTGTCATTCAGAGATGAATCCAAGGAGGTTACGGAAGCTGTATAGAGGAGGTGTTGTATCAATGCTGTTGCTGCTCTGGTCCAGTTGGCACCTCCAGGATGCTTTGGTGGGGACTTCCCAGGTTTAAGGGGAAGTCTCGCCACATCCCATTACATCCCATGGGAGAACAGGTACAAAAGCAAAGCTCATTCACACCAACAAAGGCGTAGCTCTCTGATCCTGTACTTCTTTCTAAAAAAGGGAAAGAGACACGTGCCAAGCTGTTGCCCTCTTTCCTAAAAATAAACCCATGAAGTAAAAGAGGATTTGGACAAAAAGATTCTGCGGAGGACACCTTGTGCTGAGCAGCAATGGGGAACTCATCCTGATCTCGCCATTCCTCCCAGTGCTGGTCTTACACAGCATAAATATCTGCTCCGAGGCATTGCTGGGACCAAAGAAGCAAGTGTGATGGGGCACAGGTTTTGCTGACAGTGATTAATTGGTAGCTGAAGGTGAGAGCAGGGCTTGGCAGCCCCAAGCTGTGGGTGTAAACTCTTGTGGGAAGGAAAGCAGTACTCAAAACAAAAGCAAATAAATGAGCAAGCAGATAGCACAGCGATGGCTTTGGGCTCTCTCTTTTACCAACAGAAGATGTAAAGCAATGACTCTAAGCTTTGCTTGGGATAGGAAGATCACCAGGCAATGCTCTACTTACTTGCAGCACAAATGTATTTCCAGCAAATCAAGCCTAGATCTGTAGATGCATTGCTCAGCCGAAGGAACCCTGTTTTATTAAAAAGGTTGCCACAGGTGCTAAGTCCTGGCACAAAGAATCCAGCCATCACCTCTGACATTCCTACATGTTGCAGCTTTTTCTTGCAGACTGGGTCTTTTTGTAAAACTACCCAGGAGACTTTTGTACGTGTGAAATTGTCAAGAGCTCAAGAAGATTCAAAAAGGATTGGGATGCAAGCATCAAATTTTGATCATTAGTTACAATTCTGGCTTTTGACAGAGGATGGGAAATGTTGGCGTACCCTTTTGTATTAACAAGGGAGCTCAAATGCTATTCAGCTTTTTAGTTAAAAGATATCTATAAATAGAAGTCAGATGCTAACAGGGCATAATATTTTACTATCTCACATACAAAAGATCATTTCGAATGCTACCTCATTCCTCACCTTGTTTTTTCAAGGAGGAAATTAAACGAAAAGGACTGTCCTAATCCATCATTAATCCCGTCAATTTCAGAGGCATCCATGAACACTTTGCTGTACCGTGGTCACTGACATCAGAAACCCCAGGGATCAATCAGCAACCCACTGTTCTTTACACCATGCTGGTAAGAAGCACATACCATAAAGGTGAGCACTCCTCTTCCAAAAGCATCTTATTCCCTGCCTTCATGCAACCTATTCCAACTGTGTATGCTCCTATTGAGGCAGTAGGTTCGTGCTGGCCCCTGGGATCTGCTCGTAGCTATTTTGAATGCTTCTCAGCCATTTTGCTTTTTAGTACTTTATTATGTTGTTTATTTTGCACTCTGCTTTCATTGCTTGGATAAAACTAGCTACCAGTCCCCAGGCTTCCTGAAGGAAAGAAATTACTGAATGCACTGCTTTTCCCAACATAGGGCAAATATTGTGCCAATGATCTCCAACTTGGAAGCATTCTTTGGCTGCAGCTTTCATGAAAAATCCTGCCTGTTCCATCTATGTGAGGAGTTGTGGCTCTTCTGAAGGACCAAATGGCAGAGTACTAAAGTATATAAGCAGCTCTCTCCCTGTACTTCACTTTGTGCTGTCATCATCATCAGGTAAATTCCTTGGCCCAAATTTGAGAAATCAATAGCACTCAGCCAAGAAACCTGTTAATTTTCACTGGACAAATTTTAATAATCTCAGAGGCTTCAAAGATCAGTGACAGACACTTCATTTAAATTAAAAAAGGAGTAGTGCTGTATCTCTTTACTTGATACTAAAGAGTAGGATTCTTCAGATCTGAAGTGCCTGCTCTGGCTTGACAAACAGCAAGTGCTGGTAGATGTTTAGAGGAGGCAGATTAGAAAGGCAGGCAAGAGGATGAATAATTTTAGTGCTGTGGAGTGCAGAGTAGAGTTTCCAATAGGCACTTCTACAATCAGCAGATAGAAATATAACTGAATGTTTCCTTATAGTCAAAGAACAGACTTCCAACATGACTCTTCTGTCATGTTACATTATCAGCCGTGCTGGGAAACTCAATAATTGCTCTGCAGGCACTATTGAAGACATACTTGTTGAAATAAATTATAGGGCATTAGGTGGTTGTTAGGCACAGGCTGGAGATAAGCAAGACTGTCTCATGGAGGAAACAAACTGAAACATCATTGCTTTTCTGATTAAAAAAAAGTACTTCTGTGTCAAAATTGGACAAGTATAGGTCAAGCAATTTTTCATGGCAAAACGAACAGAAATGAATTTTCTGCTGTTGGTTTTCTTTCCAAGATGATCAGTTTGGCAACTAATAAATGAGTTTTTGCAATGGGAAATCTGAATGCTTGGAATAGCAAGGCTGATTTCTACTCAGAAGTCAGACTTAGAGAGTATCCTAAGTTGGATGTTGTATAATCAGACATGGAATCTGACTACTTCAATTAAACCAAAAATCTGTTACAGACTACTTGCTCACTAGAATGCCTCACAAGACAACCACCACCATCACAGAGATTTATGAAGGTGGAGAAGAGTCCCACACACAATGCTCTCTTTAACCACCTCCCACAGTCCTGAAATAGTGTTCTGCCCACAGACGGTTCTTGGTGACCTTTACTTGCAAGTGTAAGATGATGGCTACTTTGTGGATGCAAAACCATAGATTAACAGGATATGTTTTAGCATTACCTCATGAGACAGGTAAAAGGCAGCAATTCCCAATGGCCAGAAGCAGCAGAGCATGGAGAACACAGTGAGGCCGAGATGATCTCTTGGTGGCATCATTAGGAAATTGTCTTCACTTTCAGTGTCACTCGAGTAGTCACTCTGGAAAAGCAAGAGAGAAACGTAGAAGTGCTGATTAATGATATTACTTCTCTTTCGTGGACCGAGTCTGTGATCATCCACTCATAGTAATACCACCAATTGCCCCTGGACATTTTCAAAATAGACTTCTAGCACTCATGGGGGATAGTTTCTGGTGTCCCATCTTGAGGTCTCAATCATGTACATGGTCAGTTCGGAAAGCATTTGTACTCTGATATTCAGGGCCCACACAAATAAGTGCCAAGAGACTAGAAGACAATGGGCTTCAAGCAACAGCAGAATGCAAGATTGCAACATGAAAGATGTAATCTCAGGGAGGTCCATAATCATTCCCTGTGCCAAATGAGCTGCTCTTTGCAGCCTCCACAAGACAGAAAGGGCACTGTTGCAAAAACTGTGATTGTGACAGTGGATGAAGAGGAGAAATAAACTTTGCTGGGAGAAGGGAGGGGTCTACTTCTAACACAGAGAAATTTGGAATAAAAAATTCAGGTCCATGCATCATGCCACAGAAAATCATTCACACGGGAAGAAGGTAGAAAGAACAACTTCTCTTGTGAGATAAATTTAAGATGTAATTTCTTCACATTCTGTAAGTGCCTCTGTGAGTAGGTAATTTCTGATCAGACAGCTCTGCTGTTCGGCAGAAAAAAAAAACACAAGAAGCCCCAGTAAGTGAAAGCAGAGCAGATGAAGAGCTGACATAAGGTGCAGATTTTTAGCAGGAATGGTGATGAACACTTTTCTGCAGCTATAATGGATTTTCTATTACACCAAGCCCTTTTTAAAATTGAGGCTAGCTATCCCTAAAAGCTGTGTGCTTTATCTAAATCAAGAAGCTGTGAATGAGCAAAGGCTCTCTAGACAGCCTTTCCTGGGTGCCAGTGGCATGCTGGAGGCTGGACTTGGTGGACACACAGTCCCCTCCAGCAGAAAAATGCAGCTCATGCTAGAGAAGTCGGACAATGAGCTCTGCTGTGAGCCACGGCTGCCTGCAGTCTTTGATGGATTTTCAGAAAACAGCCCTTTTGGTATCACTCCTTTTTTCTCTTTAAAGCAATCGCTTCAGTTGCACACACACTGCATACAAAACTAATCTCTGGTATGGCCCTTTGAAATCTGCTTCAAATCCAGATGGTTCAGGAGTCAGTTTTTGATAAGGACCAACCCAAGGTAACTATAAGACAATATGTGCTCTGTTTCCCTCCCCACAATGCATGTTTAGGTGATGTGATGAACACAGTGCCCTATTCTGACCAGCACTCTGCATCCCTTTGCTCTTCTGCAGTCGGTCTGAGTTCACCTAAATGCAGCAGATGGTGATGGCAGTGTGCTGGATGGCAGCTCTCCCACCAATGGTTGTAGTTTATTACCGCTCGCCTCAGCCCACTTACTTCTCACTGAGCAGCATCTGGCTGATGCTTCCTTAGCAGGTTATGCCTCTAAAACCTGTTGCCATCATGGATTTTTTTGGCCTGGCAATGCTTTATTTATTTGCCTGTTTGTTTGTTTTTTATTTTTACCATTTGGAGTTTTGCAGTTGTTCCCATTCACTTTTAAAGGTATTTAAACAAAATCCATTATCCTGACCTGGTCCAAACTCCTCTTCCTTCCCCAGCTCCCAGACTAACATGCAGCATCAGTCAAGCAGCCAGCTGTCCAGAATGGGCTCACAGTGCTCTTTCCTTGCTTGGAAAGTTTTCATGCTTGACTTTACAAAGCCAAAATGTTTCAGGAGGAAAAAAGTCCTTGATGAATATGTCCAAGTCCATTCTTTCTCCTGTGCCCCTGGATTTTGATCAACTGCTCGTGATGCTCTCTAGACACCCACAGATAGTCTACCTACAGTTCATCAGCAGCATGCATTCAACGCATTGCTTCTGGAAAGGGATTACCATGGACAACAATAAACAAATCCATACAAGACCAGGCCAGCTGCCATAGTCTCCTAAATCACACTCTTTATCCTGAGGAGCAGTAATAACAGCCATAAAGTAAATAGCCCTAATCTGAGCGTGAGTGACAGGGGCTCCCATACAACAGCCCTCTGCATCCATTGGAAGGTACTCATGGATCACAGCATTCTTGTGACTTTGCAGATCACTCTTGTGACCAGCTGCCACAATAAGATTAGGGAGATACCTCTATTCCCTGAGGCACATTAACTGAAAAAGTAATATTACACAGCTCAACCTAAGAGAGTCAGCATCCACTAATGTCCTCTTTTTGTCTTACATCTGACCCACTCCTGTGGCCTGTTAATAATTTGTCTATGAAGGCAAAGGGACATAAAGTGTGTTCTGTGGAGTTGGGTCAATGGTCCATCAAGCCCTGGGCTCTGCTTCTGCCAGCAGCCGCTGGATGTACTCTGCAGGGAGCTCATGTAATCCTGGACACTGTGTATCCACCCCTTGTGCTCTTCCAGCTTTCAACTGTTGCTTGAAAGATATTAGCAAGAAAAGCTGTACCAATTTCTCTTAATACCTTTCTACGTGTTCTTTGTCCATGAATCAGTCTAATTGCTTCCTCACATGTGAAGAAAAATTCTCTGTTATCTGTGTTAAGACAGCTCCCTCAGGTTTCCCCTGCTTCTACTATTGCAGGTTTGCTGAGCAGCAGGTCTGCACTCATCTTGTTCTTCACCTTCATGGTCTTCACATGAAGGTGAAGAACAGCAGGGGACTTCACATCCCTTAGCTTTCTCCTCTATCAAATGGAGCATCTATTCAAAAGAAAGGCTGCAAAGATAGAGAAGGGTCTGCATGATGAGCTGTATGAGGAGCGTGGAGGCCCCTGAATTTGCTCAGTGCAAAGCAGAGGAGCTGAGAGGAAGCCTCATGGAAGCCTGCAGCTCCTCACAGGGAGCAGAGAGCAGCGCTGAGAGAAGAGCATGGAGCTGTGTCAGAGGAAGGGCAGCTAGGGGATAGGGACAGATTCTTTGTTGAGAGGAAGGTTGGGCACTGGAACAGTCTACTCAGGGAAGAGGACATGGCATGGAACTTGCCAGAGTTCATGAAGCGTCTGGACGTCGCTCTCAAACACTGGGTTTGAGTGGTGCAATGTGGAGCAGGGAGTTGAAATACTCATGGGTCCCTTCCAACTAAGGACATTCTATGATTCTGTTGTTCTTATCTATCTCCTTCAGAAGTGGGGACCACAAATACTCGTACCATGTGGAAAGTGGGTTGCAGTGAGCTTTCAGACATCAACAAAATGCTGCCGGCACCCTATCTCATCCCTGATAACATTCTTTACCATATCCAATATTTTGCTGACTTATCAGCTTGGCCTCTGCACTCCGTGCTCTGAGACCAGTTTCTTCCCCGAGCTGCAGCTCACAGATACAAGCGCAGCACTGAGTCCACCTGAATTTCATTATTTTTCCATAAACATATTTGTTTTCATTTATTTACATTGAAACACATCTACCACTCAGTTTTTGCAGCCTCTACAGAGCTTCTCTCCAGAGGGCAGACACCTCCAAGGGCTGTTCAAACACACTTTCTAGATTTCTGGTCCCAGGGAAGGCTGAGGGCACCACAGATGTTAGGGGGAATTCACTCAGAGAGCACTGAGGTACTGACACTGCTACTCAAAGAAGCTGTAGGTGCCCCATCTGCAAAGGTGTTCAAAGACAGGTTGGATGGGGCCCTGGGAAGCCTGGTACCTGATTTAGTAGTTTGCAACCCTGACCATGGTTTTTAAGGTCCCTTCTAAACCAAACACTTGCATGATTGCATGTCTCATCCCATTGCTGCCTGCCCCGTATATGGAGCTGGTTTTACTCAGCAGGCCAGCATCACTCATTACTTTCTCTTGATTTGAGTTGGATATAAAACTGGTTCTTTTGCATACTGGCTCAAACATTAAACCTGCCTGTACAGCCTGGCAGGGTTAAGGGAAAACATGATGTCATGGGGTTTAATTCACATAAACTCTCTTTGTGGTCTTCTCTTTGTATCGCAGGAGAAATACAGCAAGGAGGCGCTTGGATATGATGTGAGGAGCAGTTAGATGGAACAAGACATGTCTTAGGAACCACTTCCCATCTCTGTGTTTTTATGCTCACGTCAAAGGAATGAGTTCTCACAGCAGCAGCCAGCAATTCATAGAGAGGAAAAAAAAAGGAAATACTTAGCTTGAAAGCCTAACATTTCTTTTCTTCTTTCCACTTATTTCACTTTCCAGAGACCGTTTCAGACATCATTGGAGAAAAAGAGGTTTAAGAGAGAGCTGAGGTGTATTCTTTTATGTGACACATATGAATAATTCAATTTTCTGCCATCAATAGCTTGGCTTTCTCTAAATAAGCCATCTATCCAGGGGCCAGAAGAAAGAGTAGCCAGTGTGTTAATGTGACAAATGATGTTCCTGGATAGCACTGTATTTGCACATGGGCTCTAACAGGAGGATATTTCAGGTAGAAACTATCACATATTACATATTCCACTGCTACCCCACTTTACATGTTGTCTGTCTATTAATTGTGATGTAAAGGACTCATAAGATATTTATAAGAATTCTAGAGATGCTTAAGTACGGAATCGTTTGATTTCAAGGATTGGCAGAAAAAGAAGTTTAAATCTTTGATAGAACACACAGCATTCTGCTTTTGTGCCTGGTGAATGCTGGAGCAAAATGGGGTTGTATGTGCTAATAAGAACTGTTTCAGAGATGGTTTTCTTTGCAGATTATGATTTCCATATGCAGTCTGAACAGCACTACACCAGGACCTGAGGAACAGTGCTGGTAAGGAAACACAAAAGTTAATGTGTCCACAGTGCTGCAGCCAGCAAACGACAGGATCACTCTGTTGCATGCATCCTGCTCCTCTGCCACATCTCCTGGGATTTTTCGGAGTCCCCAGACTTGGGGAGAGGAATAAGATGCCTTCTTGCAGGCAGGTTGTTGAAAACATTGATGATCTGAACCCATTCTGAAGAGGATGGCAGGTAACAAAGCAGCAAGCCCTGCAGCCTGGCTGGGATGTCACCTCAAACCAGAGCCACACTGCTATCAGCCAAAATTGGCTTTCTCCAGAGAATGTGTCTGTGGCAAAGTTTTTTGCAGGAAAACAACAATATTTCCAGTTGTCAGAATCCTAACGCTCTTCAAAAAACAAACACTGGCAGAAACACACTGAGCTGCAGAGTCCATAAAAGCTGCTCCTTGCATGCATCCATAGACTCCAGTTAAGTGTTACACAGTGAAGCTCATTACAAAGGGCTGAGTTAGATTTTTCCATATGTCCAAACAACTAAATACCCAGCTGCAACACCCACTAGGCAGGTGCTTTGCAAGAACAAGTCAGCGCCAAAAAGGGAACAACTCAGCTCCAAGCTTGTTCTGTCCCCCTGAAAGATTTTCACAGAGATGCTCGACTTGGGAATCCAGTCACCTTGCCTGGGTATGCAGGGCAAGGTGGTAGCCCCAGCTTTCAAGAGACCAAAAGACAACAGCTTTTCTGCATGAAGCTTCCCTCTTTGCTGCTAAATCTTGCAGAAGGATGATCTTTTTGTTGTTTCCCCCCCCCCCCCCGAAATACCAAAGACAACAGAGCCTTATGAGAACTGAGCTTCAATCTGCTCTTACACTATGCAGTTCCTATGAACTGTGGCAAGACAGTCAGTGTGGCAAGGTACTCAGCAATATGCTGTGCACCCTGGATGAGGGAAACAAATCCTTTGAGTCTCTCAGCATGGAAGCAAAACCCTACATCTCTCATATATTATCCTCTTGCTGTTCTCCTAAATTCTACTCCCAGTCCCTATACTGAACCTTTTCACTCCACTTTGAGTGCATTAGTAATTTAAATAACATTTGCTTCTTGTCAGTAATGGGCGGGAAAAAAGCATTCTACTGGACCAGATGCATGCTCTGTGATTCAGATGCTGTATTTCTCATTTGAACAGATAGGCAATTTTTTACGTAGTTAATGATCCAGCATGGTTCGTTCCCCTACTCAGTGATTGCTGTCCTCAAACAATTTTTTTCCATTCCTGGAAAAAAAATAAAAAGGATGTTCAGCTACATCTCCAGTAAACCTCTGTACTATCCAAGCCCAGGTGTCCCTCATGCATCTGGCCCTGTTGATACAGCATCTGTCTAGATGGAGACCAGAGGAGCACATTTCTGCTGGTCTTGTTTACTTGAGCACATCTCTCCTCTTCTTCCCATAGTACCAACTGCAGAATCTGGGCCTTCTTGGGTTGCCACCATTTACTCCACATGCTGAGAACCCTCATGCTGAGCACAGCTACTCAGTAGGTTGTTAATGTGGGTCTGGTTTTGCAGAGGTGTGAAAACCAGAGCGCAGCATTGGGCTGGCTATGCAGCACTGAAATCCAGGCTGAAAATGGGCTAGAAGGAGAGGCTTCTAGCAATTCTAACAATGCACATGATTCCAGTCAAGTAGGTCCTTCCTCAGACATTGCCTCATTTTCTTCTCCTTCCTTCATTCTCCTGGTGGAGGAGAAATCCCAATTCAGAACAGAGGGAGCTGTGTGGATGCACACTGCATGCACACTTGCCTCCCCTGAGCACTTTGTACAGCTAGGTCAGGATGGGCATCCTCTGTATTATTCTCTCCATAACACAAAAAGAAGGACCCTGGGAACATGATGCACACACCGTTACAGCATGTTAAAACATTTGCAGAGAGATGGGGAGATGAACTCTCTTCTTTCCCTCTGGAAATCTGGGAGGGGAAGGGCGATGTCCTTTCCCCAGACCTTCACTTTCATAGGAGTTTTACTAGGAAATCTTTTCAGTGGAAAGTTGTTCCACATTCTGTGGTTCCAACATATTAAGGGCCCTACACTGTAAAGACACTTTAAAAATCCCACCAAGAAAGGAGAAAATATTTTTGGTACAAAATATTTTTTCGTTGTCCTGCATATTGCCCTGGTCTTTTTTAGCCCATTCTCTGACAGTTGGCTCAAGAAGGCCTTGCTGGATTTGGTTTGACAGTAATCATAAAGTCATTAATGCTGGAAAAGATCACTAAGATCATTTATTCCAACCACCAACCCAACCCCACCATGCCCACTAATCAGATCCCTCAATGCAATAACCCTACAGCTTTGAACATCTCCAGGGTCTCCACCACCTCCTTGGGCAGCCTGTGCCAGTGCCTCATCACTCCAAGTTTCTCCTAATATCAAATCTGAACCTGCCCTGGTGCAACCTAAGGCCATTACTTCTCATCCTATAGAAAACAATTTTCTTTCTGCCTCAGTCTTAGGCCAGATATGACAATACATCATTAGGCAGTTTCGTGCCTCCTGCAGTCACTTGCATCACAACCACTGCGTGAGGAAAGCTAGAGGAAAAAAAAAAAAAAAAGGCAGCATTTCAGCCTTTTGTTTTGATTTAAAAAAATGAGGCTTCCCACAGCCAGCTTTGAAATGCTATAGAAGGGCGTGATTTGAGCTAACACCACTACAGGCCTCAAAGAGAAACTTCCAGTCTCCCTGTGGAGGTATTGAATACCGCATTACCAGCACGCACTGTGAAAAGCACCTCTCTCTGCTTACCTGAGCAATACAGAGAGAACAGAATCAAAGAGAAGTCAGCCCTCTTGCTGAACTGCCCCTGTGCAGGGTGAGATGCTGATATTAAAGGAGGTGGAAATAGAAGTTTTAGGACCTATTAGCTTTCAATGGAGAAAACCCCGCAAGAGAGAAACATGGGAAAACATCTTCCTGAACTCCTCTCGTGCATTCAGGTTGAAGCAATGTTTTTTTGCTCCAGTCAGCCAAATGGGCTTTGCTACCTTAGGAGTCTGTGACTAATGCTGAGAAAGTCTGGGGATCTGCAACAGCATGGGCACCCTCCACTCCCATTGGCAAATAAAATGTGTTGTCTTTGGGCAGCTAGCGCAGCCAGGATTTTCTGAAGTAGAAAATGCACCATTTAAGAAAGAATGAAGTTGATTTCTAGTATGCCCCATTTGGAGAACAAAATTTATATTGCTTTAGTGCGACCAATTAATGAAGAACAGGAACCTAAAAGAAAACATTGCATTTGGAATCAAGTAGAGTTTCACTCCATCAGAAAAAAAAAAAAAAACCTTATTCAGGTGCATAGGATTTGCTGTGGCTAGACGCCCAAAGAGTCCTGGTTTTGTGTTCACAGATGGACAGGTTTAATGTTTGAGTCAGTATGCAAAACAACCAGTTTTATATCCAACTCAAATCAAGAGAAAGTAACGAGTGATGCTGGCCTGCTGAGTAAAACAAGCTTCATGTATGGGACAGATGCTTCAGGCCTCGACTTTCGCAGTGTTTAAGTGTATGGGTCTTCTTTAGTTTGTGACCAGCCTACTCAGAGGCAGGAATGCCACCGGCACTTCTGCCATTAGCCTCTGCAGAGCCAGGGCTCTACCCTGCAACTAAAGTTGAGCAAATGTTCCCTGCCCTGGCTGGAGGAGAGAGCAACACATCTGATCCCATGAAAACCAGCACCCAAAAGCTGTACACTTCAGCCCAAACATGACCTCCCCCCCACAGATCCCATGTGACATCTGACCTCTAACTCCTGGAAATCCTCCTCCTCCTCCACATCATAGGACAGGGTGTGAATCTTGATGTCATCTGCAGAGAGATCGATGAATTTGCTGTCTGGGTACTCCAGGCTGTCCTTGGTAGGGGAGCGGTCCTCAATGAATGTGGTTTCACAGCACTCTGAGTTGATGCTCTCACCCCACGAGCGCAGCACATTCTCCGAGTAGAGGATGATGTTGGGACGGTAATGGGACTCCACGGTCTGCTGCAGCATGTTGGGATCCAGGAGCTGCTGCACGGGGTCATTCCTGCCATTCTCCAGGCAGCTCGGGGAACTCCCTGCCCGGTGGCTCTGATACTGTGGGGTTGGGTACACCGACACCAGACCATCTCGGCTCTCTGCTACTAAGTTCCTTGTATTAATTAAACCATTCCTTTTCCCAGCCTCAGCAATCTTATTGTGCGTGAGCACATTGTTCTGCTCAATCAAACCATCCATACTGGGAGGTGTCAGAGAGTGGGATGGTGGTCTGTATTATATTGTACTGTAGATACAGGTCACACTGGGGCAGTGGCCTCCATTTTCCTGAAGAAAGAAAGAAAATAGACACCAAGGTGAGAATGTAGGTAATGAATAACACTCGAAAGCACCCAAATCAGCTTGTCTTTTGTACTACCTCATGAGAAAATATAGCCCCATATTTGTGCACACTTTGACCTAACTGTCCAAACATATCCCCATTTGAAAAGGCAAACAACTTATAAAATACCAGGAGGTGAATAGGAACAGGTGGCAGAGGGCTTCTCGAGATGTCTTGCTAATGGTGGGCCACGTCAGAGGAGGGCTACGAACTTCCTCCATTTTCACATATACCCTACAGTTATTATAAGGGCAATGTTCCCTTCCTTTGAATGCTCTGATAAGAGAGATGGGGAAAAACAAAACAAAATACAAAGATAAAAGACAAAGAAAGCATTTTCAGTTCTGGAAAAGCTGCAATTACGAAGGGCAGGGCAGCTGATGCGTTCAGCTGTCATTCTCTGCAGCCAACCTTCAACCTTGTCAAGTGATTTGATGCCCCTTCAAAACTCAATTGCAGGAAAAACAAGGAGGCAGCTCTCTTTAAATTAACTTTAAAAAAAAAAAAAAAAGCCACTTCCTCCACAGCCTCAGAGACTGACCTGTGGTGACAGAATTAAGGTCTGTGATGAGGCCAGTCAGCAGGCCCAGCCCCATCCAGATTCACCTAGAAGAGGCACAATTTCTTGACCCCCAGGACCTGGTTGTTGCATTTTTACAAAGGAACAATGACTGTTGTCTATTTCTTCAGAAAACCAACCCAGCTTCACTTTGTGCGGACTGCACTAATGTATGAAGATCAGAGATAGTTCAAAAGGTTAAAAGTACTGTTTCCCAGCTCAAATACTTTCTTACTGTTTTTGCTCAGGTGCAACTGAAAGAAAGTGCTTTTTGAAATGTGGATGTATCCATCACAGCAACAATAAGCTTCTGGCTTGCAAGAGACATTTAAACCATTAAGAGCTGCTCTTCTGCTCTTACACCAGGAACAAAGCAAGAAACTCTTCTAACGTACAAAAAAAAGCTGACTTAAGTGTGTTGCAGCACCTGCATTCATGGCACTTGGTTTAATATGTAGAAAATCTATTTTACTGTATCAACAAATAGTTTAGAAGTTGTTCTAGGTGAACTGACAGGAAAACTGCACAAGTGAAGATGCACCACAGTGGGATCCTGTGGAATTTACACTGTACTACTCTCAGCCCCAGATTTGGGGAACCCGTTGGCAAAATCACACCAATGTGCAAATTAGCCTGGAAACTTGGACTGTTTCCCCAAAGGCTTAGTCCTAAAGACTTAAATCCCTCTTAGGAGCAAGTAGCCTGTCTTTCCAAAGAAGCCTTCCTTCCTTGTGTGGCTATGTCTGTGCTAAATGAATGGAGGACCACACTGTCCTTCCATTCATAGTGGGATTACACTGAATAATTAAGCTTGTGCCAGCACAGACATATTGGTAAGGTGTAGCTGCTTTTGCCTCAGGACTGGTGCTCACAGAAATACCGTCTTCCATTCTGCAAACATAATGACCTCACAGTGCACCGTCTCCTGTAGGCTACTGAGCAGCCCTGTTTCCATCATTTAGGAGTCCCCAGAGTGGAGACTAGGTTCCAGTGGAAACTAGTCACAAACTAAGTTCAGAATAGCTGTTTTTTTATCCAGGTTTGGTGGGGTCACTTGCTTATGTGATCCATCTGTCATCTAACAGTTCGCCCACAGTCATTCCTGTTCCTTTCCCTATCAAAGAAAGGAAGAGAAAATACTTCACCAAAAATTGCTGATTAAAACTCAGCAAGTAAGTTCTCTCAAGTCTTCGCTGGATTCCCCTTGAGACAGTGCAGAAAGCGTGTAAGGCTCCCTGACGTGGCACAGACTGTTAATCCTGCTAAAGTCAGAGAGACTTCACTTGGTACTGCAAACCTTCTCAGAAGCATTCTCAGCCCCTTGTTCAAGCAAGCTGAGGTCAGCAGAAAATTTGCTGTGGTACTGCCACAGATGTAGTAATAGGAATATGTACAACCCAAACAGACCCCCTCCCAGAAAAAAAAAAAAACAACAACAAATAAACAGAGCAGTAATTTGGTCACTACATCAACAGCTGAAGTAAAGAATGTTTAAGTCTTGTATTCTGATGTGCTCACATAATTCCAACAAATGTGTACTGCCTGACTTGAGTAGCACTTGAAGATGTCTTTTAAAGCAGCTTTATCTGACAGTGCCTTTGAGCTGCACTGTCAGATTCCCTTCATGTTTTTTCTACATTCACATATCATCCAGATAACGCTTGACTTTGGAAATGCAAGTTTCACCCCAGGCATTTCATTGACAGCTAAGCCATCTTCATGGAAAATTCTCACTCTGAATTGGCGCAAATAAGGATCTGCACACATCATGACACCAGAGCTAGCTGGTACATTTTCCTCATGTAATTTTGAGTAGTAATCTTGCTTCATCTTGGGAGGGCTGGACTTTGAGGAAAGGTCACTGTTATCTCTTTAAAGATGCATGGGACCCTATAAAGTCTTTGGAAACAAAAAGCCATCCTTTAGTTCTTCTCACAGTCCTCAAGAGCAAGAGGAAGCAAGTAAAGAGAAGACACAGGGAAAAATGCTTCAGCATGTCTAAGTGACATGAGACATGGAAGCACTTCAGGAAGTCAGTAGGATTGCCTTGTTAGGAATTAATACTGTCCCAAGCCACTCCTTGCTTTCCATTGTTCATCGGCCTGCGTGAGACAGGAATCAAGCCCCTTTTGTAAATGACTAATAACATGGAAGATATTTGAAAAGGTAACCTAACTTCAAAGTCTTTGGAGTGTTGACAGATAGGATGCCATAAAGTCCTGAGTAAAAATTGCTCATGACACCTTTGCAACTCTACAACTGATATCTCTACTATTCCAAAGACCCAGGGCAGCTATGTACAGATTCCCTAGTCATCCATACCAGTAAAGTATTAGCACAGCCAACAGCCTACCCTGGCTTCAGCCTATGCCCTCTCCTAGGCAATGTCCACCCTGAAGTAAATAAGTGCCATGCATGTTCCTCAGAGGCATAAAGGACAAAACCACCTTATTTTGGTAGGTAAGAATTTCATGGTATGGACACAGCCATAAAATCACTAAGGTTGGAGAGACCACTAAGATCATCATGACCAACTACCACATCCCTCCATAACACATCCCCACAGTTCTTGGACACCTCCAGGAACAGCAACTCCACCAGCTCCCTGAGCAGCCTGCGTCAGTGCATCACCACTCTTTCTAAGAAGACTTCTCCTAATATACAACCTGAACCTCCCTGATGCAATTTAAGGCCATTACCATCATACCAGTCAACGCTGGACTACTTATCTTGCAAATAACAGGAGGGATCTTAGTCTCACTCAGTAGATAGGAGACAGCCTGTGGTGTTTGCTTAATCCTACCATGGACCTAAGCATTTATCTGTCCAGTGCTACCTGATGTGCATTTAAATCAGTCTAGTAAACCAATTTTGCAGATTCTGAATGACACTTACCCCTGGGATGGGGGAGGGAGGAAGAAAGTATCTGAAACAAGGAAAGGACAAAACAAGAGATGTCCTTCCCACACATAGCTCCTCCAGTAATATGGCAAATGCATCACTCAAGACGTTCTCTCTGGGGTCCCACATAGCAGCACAGCCTGCATGCCTCGGGGAAGGTCAGAAAAGAGAGATGTGGATGGCAGCATTCAGTCAAGGAAAATTGTTTATCCCTCATGTCATTTTGCTAGTTGGCTACTTTACCACAGCCTGACCCAATGTTCTCAGCCCTGCAACTGTTGGGCTTAATGGCAAGGAGCTGGTGAGACTCTTATACCTTTCCATTATACCACATCTATAGCTAATAATAATAATAAAGTGGTATTGATTTTTCTTTTCCAGGTGAAAATCCTGAGCAGCTGGCCATTAGGTTTAAATCAATAGCACCTTGATTGCAAGTGCGTCTTGATGCACAGCTAAGACAAGGTCAATTGCTGTCTGGGGAAACTGAGAAACTGTTGAGGCACCCAGAGATTCTTCATCAATAAAAAAAGCGGGATTAAGAGTGCTGTCAGCCAGAAACAAGATCTCACATCCTCAGTGATAAAAGTGAACCTCCTCCGGGTTTTTCATTCCCCAGCCACTGGCTGAAGAGAGTAAAATCACATTCCCAAGTCCTTTGTTTCCTGCTGCTATCCTGGTGCTGGTGGGAGAATTAGACTCATAGTTTGGAATTTATTTCACTTACTGCAGGTACTTGAGGATGTTCCACAGTAAAAATTAATAGCAATTATGCAAGGTGCATGGGACAGGACAACACAGTGCACCCATGCATTAAAACCAGAAAGATTAATGCAGTAGAAGGGCAATACAGGAGAGTAGCAGCTAAGGGACTAGCATGAATGGAACAGTGTTACAAAAGAAAAGGAAAGATGCTCACCTGTACCCAAAGATCAAGGCTCACAGGAAAGACTCCACAAGGGAAGGATCTCCAGCAAGAGAACCTTCCTCAGTGACAGTCAGCCCTTAAATGGGATCTAAGAGAGGTGCAGCCAGGCTCCACTCCCTACCGGTCACACAGCTGAATTGCCTTCACCTGTGCTCCCAGGGCAGACTGATCCTTTCTCCAGGTGATCAATCAGTGGTTCAGGCTGTAACTCAACAGTTCCCATACACCACACCATCCTTCTGTTAAGGGCTTTTCCTAACCTGGGCCAGACTTGTATTGTGACTCAGATGTGTAGGTAGGAGCTGCCATGAAGACCATCCCAGTTTCCAGCTCCGGCTGAAGGATTCTGGATGGCAGAATGACTGAGCAGACAATCTGCAATAGGCATCTGAAGGCAATCAAAGGATGCCTTCTCTGCAGGGAGCCAACACTCAGAACAAAAAGAGCCACTCTCATTGCCTTGGACCACAGAAAGTCTTCAAAATGGTGCTGACAGGAAAATGAAACTCATCAGAGCCCTTTAAATAAGAGAGCAGTTCAATTTGCTCCAAGATGCAGAGTTAATTTAACTGGGTTGGTTCAGGTTTCATTTGTCTTCACACAGTTTGAGTTTCTCCCCACAAATCACTCACTGGTGCTCAGGCCAACCAGAAATAACTGTGCACTTTCAGACTTGAGGTTGGAACCAGAAGAGAAAACCAAGTTCAAGATGATGACAAATACTACGTCAAACTTCAATCTATTTTTTTTTCCTTGGGGATTAAAAATTTTCACCCAGGTTTCCAGCATTAGAAGCAAAGCTATTCGTTATTTCAAATTTTTGTTGTTGTTGTTTTTTGTTTGTTTGTTTTAATCCTCTATTTCTTGTTTGTTTGATTTGGTTTGGTTTTTCCCCCCCCCACCCCCTCTGTCCCTATTTTAATAAGTAGCTGCAGCCAGTGCCAAGATATCTCATCTGCAACGCTGTGGTTTATTAAGCTATCACTTGTGTGACGGCAGAGCCCAGCTACTGTAGCTGCAGTGAGGGCTGTGCTCTGCTGGGCGCTCTGCAGACTCCTCTGCTATGGTGACAGTGGCTGACAAACTAATTAAGCAAAGGGTGTGAGACAGAGAGATGCAAGCTGCAAAGAGGGCAAGGAGAAAAGAGCTAAATGCTGTGCCCTAGGCTCTGCCAGACAATGAGCACAAGCCAACTCTGCTACTGCACACTGTCCCCAAATTCCTTTCCTCTGTAACCCAGTGGGATGTTGCTGCCCTGCCATGGAGGTCCCCCCTTCACACAGCTCTAACACAGCCTTAGCTTCTTTCAGCCTTCTGGAACACGGTCATCTACCTAAAGGTCAGCACGAGCAGAAAGCAGAAAGCTTTCCTAAAGAGCTGCAGCCTAATAAAAAAACGCATCTAGAATTTGGAGATCACAGCTCTCCTGGTGCAATTCCTCAGGTGTCAGGGTCTTTCAACACATAATGCAATAAGCTTTAAGTGGTTTCTAACATCTAAAAACTACAGCAACACATACGGACCTTTTGAGGACCTTTTGATTTGAGAGAAATCAGTACAGATCTGGAGGAGCTGATTACAAAGTGAAATACTGCAGGAGAGGAAGGGAAAATCTTTCCCCTTTGTGTTTTCCTTCTTTGATTCAGTAGGGCTCATTATAATTGGTTTTGTTTTAAGGAAGAGCTATTTCAGCAGCTGAAATTCCTTTTGACCTATTAAGTAAACTACAGGGAGTTTTGTTAAGCAGTGCAGCTAACTCACACTGGGAAAGTTCCAAAAGCATGCATTAGTGATACCTAAATGTTTAATTGCTAGCTGTAGAAGTAAAAAGACCTCCCTGCTATTTTAGTATCACCAATAAGCAGCAAATCCACCCTCCTGCCCTAAAAAAAAAGGGACTTTGGGTGCAAATAAATGCCCAAGGTCACGTCAGACATAAGAGCAGAGCTGGAAATAAAATCCAGGTCTCTTGATTGCCCGTCCAGAGGTATATTTAAATCTGGAAAAAAATTACCATATGCATATTAGGTCTGCCTGAATAATTGATTGCTTGATTCAGTGCCAAACCAAGGAATGGGGGGAGAAAGGTGGAATTGCCTTACGTTGACCTGAAACAAAAAACATTACCCCTGCAACAAAATATTTCCTTTTGAGCAGATGGAAGCATCTCACATGAGCCAAAATGAATTATAATGTTTCATTTATTTATTTTTAATTGAACAAACTGGCTTTTAGTTCAATTTGCCTCGAGTTGCCTCCAATAAAAGATGACACATCCAGGCTTTTCCAGCCATCCTCCTTCTCAACTGGTTCTGACAGCCTCAACTACTTATTGAGTTCAGTCCAAACTCACAACTTCTTTCATGTGATGACAGAGCTGCACTTTCCAGCTAATAAATAACTGACCTGAATAACGGCACCTGGCTGTAATGTAAATAACCCTCTCTGTTGTGGAAGGCACCAGTAGAAAATACCTTGCCATCTGCACAACTTACAGCAATTACTTTCAAAGTGAAAGCAGTCAAAAATCAGGCTCTGTGCCTTTATAAGCAAGAAATTCATTCCACCATTATAATCGGGGAATGCTCAGTGTCAGAAAGCTATTATCAGCTCCCTAACTGTGCCTGGACACGTGAGTGCTGCGAATCAGCCTTGATCAATTGGTTGGCATGTCCAGGGTGAGCCTGTTACAACCAGGCATAGGGCCATCTGACAATCCCAAACACAACTCCAAGTGTATCTAAGCTCACAACAGCCCTCTCACACCCCCACAGCCCATCCCATTACTGAGAAGGCAGAGGCATGAGGAGTGATTCTTGCTATAAAAGGCATCTCAACAGATGGCCAAACTAACATTTCCTCTCCCTCCAGCCATCCCAAAAAGTTGTTCTGCAGAACTCTCTAATTACATGCAGCCCAATAAAACTAACCTTCACAAAACAATACACAGAAGCACTTACAATGAAACATCTCCAGTCAGTACCTTGAGCAGAGCAGTCAGGCTGAAAGACCTGTGTGCAAGCGCAGAAGGTAGTGCTGCCCTTTGTTTTCAAAGCAAGTGAATACAGCTGTGCTCTGGGCTGTGTAATTGCATTCTTAATTGTTTAGAGTGCCTTCACTGACAGAAATTTCATCTAATGTGAGTCATCACAGAATTGTAGAGGTTGGAGGGGACCTCTGGAAATCATTGAGTCTGACCCCTTGCTGCAGCAGGTTCCCTACAGGAGGCTGCACAGAAAAGTGTCCAGGTAGATTTTAAGTATCTCCAGAGAAAGAGACTCCACCACCTCCCTGGGCAGTTTCTGCCAGTCCTCTGTAACCCTCACAGTAAGGAAGTTCCTCATGTTTGTATGGAAGTTCCATACATGTTTCAATATGTGCCCACTGCCCCTTGTCCTGTCACCAGGTGCCATTGAAAAGAGCCTGGCCCCATCTTTTTTATTCCCCACTTTTAGATAACTATAAGCATTGATAATATCCCCTCTCAGCCTTCTGTTTTCCCTGGACTGAACAGTTCCCGCTCTCTCAGCCTTTCCCCATATGGGAGATGCTCCAGGCCCTTCATCATCTCTGTGGTCTTCATTGGACTCCCTCTAGGAGATCCCTGTCTTTCTTGATCTGAGGAGCCCAGAACTGGACACAGCACTCCAGATGGCCTTACCACAGCAGAGCAGGGGGGGTGGATCACCTCCTTCAACCGGCTGGCCACACTCTTTGTAATGCACTGCAGGATACCATTGGCCTTCTTGGCCACCAAGACACACTGCTGGTTCACAGCCAACCTTTATGGTCCTTTTCTGCAAAGCTCCTCTCTGGCAGACCAGCCCCTGCCGTGTACAGGTGGTTATTTCTCCCCAGCTGTAGTACTCTGCCCAAGAGCTGCTCCAGCTCAAGGGGAACTCTTCACCTAAGACCCACACTGATCATGCCAAGCTTGGTGCCAGAGCAATTAATCTCATGGCCCTAACCACAGTCCTTGCTTTGCAGAGTGAAAGTTCACACACAGCTGAAGTACTTGTTCCACTGCATGTAATTATTCACTTGTCAGATAAGCTGTGTCTTCAGGTAAGAAGCTGTAATGCCTCCATCCTGTTGGTTCCTACACTATGGAGCTTTGATTGTTTCTGAGGGTCAATCTAGAATTAGAGGCCGGGAGAAGACTGAGTTACCGCAGATCCCCTCTGCCTAATTTCATCAATGCCTGGTGTTGCAACAGAATTAAAATTCTCTAGCTTAGAGTAAACCTGATGCTGTATCTTGTGGAAGCCTGCAGTGAGTCAAAACCTCTGCAGCATACAGTGGAGCTTCTAAGTGTACGCAGGGAATGTGTGTTCAGGCAAATACCAACCTCATGACATCTCCTGGCCCTCTGTCTGCCTGTTGGCTGAGGCTGGTACTTCTGTGTGACCTCAAAACCATCCTGGCCACAGAAGTTAGCATCAAGGTATTGCTCCATTCAGGCGTCATTCCTGATGGGTCCTCTGTATACCCCACTCTGCAGCGTTGTTCCCCTTGCCACACTGTGTTCAGGAAGCAAGGCATAGGACAAGACAGCTATCTTGTGCTCATTCTGGGTGTGACACACCATCACTATGCTCTATGCTGGGATTTAAGGTCTTCCTGAAGCAGGGATAAGAAACATAGAGAGGACAGAGCAAGGAAGCAGCATGGTGGTGCTGCCTTTGTGCAAAACGAAGGTACTTGCTTCTCCTGCCTCAAGCGAAGCACTCCATGGCTGTAAGTCACTTATAGTAATGCTCCTGTGATGCTATGGAATTGCTAGTGCCAGTTCATCAGGGCGAGGATGATTAGATTAAGCAGCCACTTACATTTGAGGCATTACATTCACTTACATTCAGAGCTTGAAGTAAAGCCCTGCATTGTTCTCCCTCTTCACCTTTCCCACGGAGAAATAGATTTCCACATGGGAGGCACCAGTTCTACTCCCAGTTCTGCTCTACATCACCTCCATGGTCCTCAAGCCACATGCAGTGGGGGAGAAGTCAGGTTGTATTTTTGTTGAGCATGCAGGAATAGGAG